GTGTGTGTGTGTGTGTGTGTGTGTGTGTGTGTGTGTGTGTGTGTGTGTGTCACACTGCAGCTGCAGCCAACAATCCACGGCTGTTAATGACCACTGACTTGTCTGGGCCGTGAACGCGCGCTCCGCGAGCCGCGGTCATTGCTCTGTACCKAGCGTCGATGGTCGCCTCGCGCAGCACCCTCAACCCTCAGCACSCGCCGACCCTGCTCCTGTGTCGGAGCATGCACGCCTCCCGCACGGGGGGAGAATCGCCCGCGAGAACGGACGCGTCTTTTTGCGCACGGTAGCCGCATCTTCGTCCTGCCCGCCGCCGGTCCTGGATTGTTCCGTTTGATGCGTGCGGTGAGATGTTGAACTGGAGCGGTCCAAGCCAGTCGTCTCCTCCACCATCAGCAGCAGCTCTCTCTCTCTCCCTCCCGCGCGCTCTCATCTCCCTCTGTGAAGAATCCAGCGGCTTGTCCGGATAGAACAGAAAAGTATGCAATAAACAAGTCGCCAAAGGACTGGAGAAGGGGGGATTGGGAGAGAAAAAAAAAGTTGAACGAGGAGGACTGATGCAGTGAGAGCTGCGCGTGGAGCCGCGRACAGGTACGTCATGTATTTATTAGAAATGTAATGGTGTGGTCCCAAACAGCACGTGCGTGTGTGTGCCAGTTTGGTGGGATGGCGCATAGAGAGCAGTGACATTGAGGTGCCTTTCATTGGAATATTAACAGCAGTGAGAGTTTCCGCCGGAATGGACACACGGAGAGAGCTTGTCCGAGCCGTTAGATGTGTCATCTGTCGAGCTGTCAGTGTAGGGATGGACACTTTTTGTTAATATCTTTAGTAATATCTTTAAAAAAATCTTTTACTCTGAAGGGTCAGCTGTGAGAAGTGTGGTGATGAAAGATGCTCACATCTGACGTTTCCCTATTGGGCACTGCATCGCAGCATCATTTATCTCATGGTTTTTGGCTCTAAAAAAGTGTGTCCTTCAGGGAAAATAAAATAGCATTTCACTTTATCATGTAAATAGAAGAGCTGACGTKGAGTTTTTGAACTGGCTGCTTCACCTCACTGTTTACTCTCATCCTTTTAGGTTAGGGTTTTGGTCATACTTTTTATACATTTTTTAACGATTGTTTTTATAATTATATGGTGCAATCAGGAGAAAAGAGGCTGAGCATGTGTGTGTTTAGATAAATTTCCTCACTCTGACATGTTGGAACTGTTTATCCTCAAGCAGAACTTGACACTGCAGAACACATGGGTATATTTTCACTGTGCGAGTTGTTTTTGTTTAAGTTGAATACCATATGCATGTAAATATAAAAGTTTAGAGTTGCATATGGGAGGGGGGGCGCTCATATTTGCATCAAGCAGAGTGACGAAGGATGAAGCCCACACACCAGCTGTAGATCCCAGAGCCTGGCAGTCRTTGCCACCTTGTGACATGAAAAACTCTCAGACACACAGATGCCATGAAGATCTTGATGATGAGAAGCCCCGCTGAAATTCGCACTTCAGTCTCACTGGAACACACACTTGCTCTCTCACACTCTCTGTGGCCTCTTTATCTCCTCCTCCACCTTTAGCTTCCTTCAAACCAGCCTGTGCCTCTTGTGATCTCCCACGCTCTTTGATCTCGCTCCCTGCTTCCCACCCCTCCGTCTTGAAATTTTGACAGAGCCGTATAGTTGAAATAGGAAGTGAAGCCTGTAGATCTGCATGTGATCATCACCAACAGGACTCTTCACAACATGGAAACAACTGTTGTACTTTAGCCATGTGTTTGTTTGTGTGTTTTGTCTGCGAGTACTCAAAGTCTATCACCTAATCTGCGAGGTGTAATCATGAAGGCCAGGGTGGTGGTGTGTGCATATGTGTTGTGAACCTCAGTCTTAAGTGCTAATAGGAGCTCACACTGGAGAGCAGCAGGCCATGTCAACCACAATCTCCAGACAAGCCCTCAGGGGTGTCCTATTTGGCATGAGCACGCATACACACAGACACTCCCACRTACGCACTAATGGGCCTTCTATGTTTAGACGTGACTTACTGAACACTTCAGGCTACTCGAGCTCACATCTGACACGAGCAGTTAAAGGGATAGTTAGTTCAGATCTGGACAGGTTATAAAAGCTTAAAATCTGACCAAACTGACCCATTATTTGGTCAGACGTCTGACCCACATAGTGATAGTCAAAGGCTTGTAACCCTATCTGTTGCAATTTTAATTGAATGAAAAAAATACAAATAACCTTGTAAACAAAGATAGGACAACACAAACAGTTTAAAAGTCCACAATGCCGTTTTTATTAATTTATGACTACTGCATTTATTATTTGTAACTACAGTAATATTGTAAAAATATGCCATGAGAAAATATTTTTAAATGTAACATGGTATATGGAGATTATATTCCCTCCACTTGATGTTTCATGTCCCACATTGAGGTGCTAACCACAACTTTAGGAACCACTGGCCCAGACCATTGTAAGTGTAATGGCAATACAAAAGCTGTGGTCCAGAAGTGCCCGTTGAGMAACTTTCATCCTATTTTTAATGTATTTGAATAAAGGCAAAACAATTATTTAAAACGAAATGTCAGTGTGAACCTMTACATACTAATAAAACACGAGCTGACTTAAAACGAAGTCCAAATTAAACATCTTTGATGTAAATATCTACAATAAAAAAAGTAAAACAGAACCAAGGTTTATGCATGCTTGGTTAGTCTGGTTCCAGAGCAAGACTAAACTCAATTGCTTTGAAAAGTTAAAACATCACAAAAAGTTATGTACCAATTTACAAAAAAAGTTGATTAAAAATTAAAGAAAGGATCGTGGGAATAGAAAAGCAGACAGGAAGAGGAGAAAAGTTAAGGAATTAAGGGTAAAAGACTATAATTGCCTTTAATATTATCCTACTGAAATATTTGTTTCCCATTTCAGAATTTGGCACTTTACTTGCTCTGAGTAACTTTGTATGACCCTTTGGAAACAAGAAGTTACCCACCTGACATTAAGACCAAAAATAATCGCTGTCATCTAAACTACAATCTCAAAACCTTTATTATGTCRGCAGTATTGTACAATATTTACCAGCTTTGCATTGCATAATTAGTTGCACTGAATTTTGTGTTTATTTGGAAATGTTAGTAGCAGCTAGCTTGAAAACTTCCAGGGCAGCTTGGGGCACTTCCATCTGCAATGTATTGTTGCTGTAATATTTGTATAAAAAAGTATCAATGTACTACTACTACATGTTTGCAATCAGAATAAGTTTAAGACTGCAAGAGTTTACTTTTGTCTTGGCTGCCCTGGGACTACCTGTTAGCTTGTCAATTTGATCAGATTTAGGCCCATTGGAGAAGAAAAAATCYACAACAGGTACAATAATTGTATCTTTTCCTGAGAAACTCACTTATATAAGATAAACAGGATTGCCTCTGCAGTAACACTGCAAATAAACTGTAGATTGATTTCTACTCCATGCAAACATATACATCTATAGAGAATGTCTTGTAGTATTTCTCTTTCTATGTTTTTGCTTTTGTCTCTTCCTCTATGTGGGTTACATATTTATACTTCACTGCAACACCTGTGAGGCCTGGAAGAGGTGCATCAATCTTCATTAGACTGAAATGAGGCTGGCCTTGTTGAATAAATGACTTGCATTGAGAGCATGTGTGTGTGTGTGTGTGTGTGTGTGTGTGTGTGCGTGCGTGCGTGCGTGTATGTGTGTG